TTTTTTTTTTTTTTTGTGTCTGTTACCACTTTTTCTTGCTCTCACCGAACCGATTTCTTTCAATGATACGTCAAAAGATCACAAATAATTTTTTTTAATAGATGCATAATGTCCTTACCTATCATTTGATATATATTTTTTTATAAATTTGACCATTTATCTGCACACAGGGGGGGATTTAAAATGACAACTTATTCACAAAAAATTAACTTTTTCAACTTAACTTTTGAAAATGTTCCGGAAGGTCTGACACTTTTATATATATATTAAATTGAAGCTAATGTAATATACTTTATTATGGTAAAAAAAAATTTCGGACTTTATTTTATCTTCACGGTAAAAATGGCTACCGAATGCTATTTTTGTGTGAAAATTCTCTTAATTATTTTTTACATTTTTAACTTTATTATGCTATAACTTTTTGAAAAATATATGGATCAATACAATTTTTTTATGAGAAATAATATTTTTTAATAATCTCTTTTTCATTTGACATACTATATCTTAATCAGGATATTAATAAGGAACTAGCAGATCATGTAGCTTTTGGAATAATACACCAATTTTTTAAAATTAAACACAATCTAAAGATTTGCATCGAAGCGTTTATTTTTGATAGTGATTTTAATCACTGTCAGATATCATTATACTTGATCCAAATATGTCACGTCACTACTGTGCCGCGACCCCCCTGTGCTGGGTTTTTTTTAATCAGAATTAAGCCTCAGAAAGGGGTTTTGACAAAAATATATCATCAACTAATTTTTGAAAGGGGTTAGTTAGGATAAAAATAATTTTTCAATCTTTGAACAAATAATTCAAGTTTAATTCTATTTCATGAGTCTTAAGTTTGGTTTGGTAATATTTTTAAAAGTTTAAAACAGAATTTACCGGCTCTTAAGGAAATAATAGATACTATGCAAGAAGAAGTTGCTAGCAATAAGATGATTAAGTCAATTCCTTTGATCAATGATACTGTCTCCAAAAGAACTGATGAAATGGCAGGTGAAATCGAAAACAAACTTATAAATTATTTAAGAGAAAATAATTTTGCACTACAGATTGACGAATCAACTTTGACTTTACTTACTGCAGTAAGTACTTTTGCATACTGCAGTAAGGTGGCTTTCCAAAGGAAAATATTTGTGTCGTTTTTTCGCATTATTTGACTCAATCATTGAATTTCTCGATAAAATTGATCCTTTCTTAAAAGATAATTTGAAGCAACGAAAAATTAAGATTGGGTACCCACAGATATTTTTGAAAAAATGAATATGTAGTCAATTTGAAGCTTCAAGGGAATAAGATGAACTTTATCAAAGCCAAAGGAATAATTTCCTCATTAATTTTTAAGTTTGATCTTTACAGATCAAACATAAATCGTCAAGAACTGAGTCAGTTTTCGAATCTCAAAATTCTAATTTTCACTGATCATATTTTGCAGCTCAAAAAAGACATGAAATCAAGATTTCAAGACCTACTTGAGTTACAAATCTGTAATTGGATTTTAGATCCATTTTCGTTTGAATTTGTGGAAGATCTCGAACCTCATTTACAAAAGGAGTTTATCGATCTTAAACACGATTGTGAGGCACAA